GTCGTCTCTCTCTCTCTCTCTCTCTCTCTCTCTCTCTCTCTCTCTCTCTCTCTCTCTCTCTCTCTCTCTCTCTCGACCGCGACACCGATTCGTCGATCCCGCGGATACGACTTTATCGTAGGATCGATGAGACACAGCGAGACCGCGACGCGCGATTTTCTCTCGTTTGTCGTCGTTTTCGTGGCGGTGGGACGATCCTCGAGAGCCTCGTCCCAACCGAGTTCCTTGACCGAGTACACCGATGTCGCTCCCCGCCGAATCGTTGGCAGTTGGGTAGTTGCCACTGGAAGTAGAACCACGGATCGGATACATCGGTACATGACATGTGACCGAGCTGTGCCTCCTCTCCAACTCTTCGCCGCACGGGTCAAACGTACCACGATTCGTGAGATACGCGATCGAAGATTAGTTCATCGGATCGGTCATCGAAAGCCGGGATCAGAGAGGAAGAGGAAGGGAAAGAACGCGTAGGGACGCGTGGAAAAGTTTCGTCGCGAGCGTGATGACGTCTCGCGTTCGTGGCTGTTCGTCGGACGCGAAGGAAGGATCGAAGATGAGCTCGTTATCAACGCGCGCCAAGGATCGTTTCCGCGACGAGGATCGTCGGGAGGATCGTCGGCCGTCCAACTGGCCGTCCAAGAGCAGCAGCAGCGTCGGGAATCGTTACCATTTCGGGATGACGACGAGGAACGAGGAGAAGGACGAGGTGGGCAAGAACGGCGAGCTGAGAGACTACGAGGAAGACTACGGGGACGCGGACGTGTTGTACAAAAAGAGCAAGGAACACTTTGGCGCGTGGGATATCAAGGACATAGTGCAGGAGGAGAGTTTCGGGTCGAGGAGGCAGACGGATCGAGGATTGACGAACGGCCGGTCGAGAACGCAAGATCGGTGTTGCGTGATCGACGACGACGACGGGTTCGATCGGGAACAAGTTGCTGGATCGCATAGGTCGAGGAAAAAGGTGGAGAGCTCGGATGGCTCGTCGAGATCGGGTCGTCGCACGTCGACGACGACGAGGGACGACGAGATGGAACTTTCGAAAGAGATGGAGAGTTTGGCCGTGGACGGAAGATCGGGCGAGGATCGAGGGATCAAGACGATGATCGAGCGGTTCAAGCGCAGGGAAGAGGATAGGTCCACGAAGTTACGAGGTAAGGAGTGCAACTCGATCGGTACCACCGAGAAGGAGGAGGAGGGGTACGGGTCGAGAAGTGGAGGTCGAGGTGAACTTCGTACAGATCGTGTCACGGATATTAACGATCGCGATAGAGGCAGGATCCAGAAAGACGATCCGGCGGAGGAGCGCGGACGATCCAGAGGATCCAAGTTGGGAGGGGCGGAGAAATACGGGCAAGCGGAGGTCGGCAGAAGTCGTTCCGTGGATCGAAGGATGGAAAAGTTGAACGACGCGAGAAAGACGCGTTCGAAGGATACGGTGGAGGACGACGTTTCTCGGAGGAGAGAGAACAATTTAAGGAGACGAAGTTACATCTACGACGGTAGCCCGGATGATTTCGAGGTGAGGATACAGAGGTACGAGAGAGGTGGTGGGGTCGATCCCTCGCCGAGGAGGGATTCGTTCAAGGATCCTCACGATCGACGGGTAACTGGGAAGAGTTCGTTCAACAACGAGTCTTGCGACCCGAGAAGGAACCGCTCTCGGGATCGCGAGAGCCCTACGGGAAAGAATTCGTTCAAAAGCCAGGACGGGGAGAAGAAATACTCGGCAAGGGATCCGGAACGACACGTTTCCAGAAAGAGTTGGTCGAAGGAGCAAGGTTACGAAGGAGCCGGGAGGAAGAATTCCTTCAAGGAATCGGATTCGGACTACGGAAGAATTTTGCCTTTGAAGAATCGAGACGTCGACGAGAAGGAGAAAGAGAAGGAGGAGGAGGAGGAGGAGGAGGAGGAGGAGAGGAAGCGATCGCTCAAAGGGCGTAATTCCGATACCGGAGTCAGTCGAATCACTTTCGTGAAACAACGGGACGCCGATTCGAGCAGAGTACAAGGCTCGTACAAGGATCGGGAGGCGGACTCAGGGACGTTGAGGGTGAGCTTCGACGAGGATCGCCAAGTCGCGGGGGGGCGTAAGAACTCGTTGAAAGAAAAGAGCGTAGAATTTGGCGGGATCTCGTACAGAGATGAGAAGGAGGAGGGGGATCGAAGATCGGGCGGGCACAAGACGACGGCTCGGGGCGACAACGAGGCGAGTAGAGCCGGCCGATCTTTTCGAAACTTGGACGAGAAGGCGAGAAGGAGGCAATCGCCCAATGGCCGGTACGTGGAATTCGGCGGTGTCTGTTTTCAGAGCGAGGAGGACTCGTTGGAGCGGGCGAGCCCTTCCAACTACGATCGAGACCACGATTCGGAGAGGAAAAGCTGGTCGAGGGAACGGGGGGAGGATCCCTCGTCGTCGTCGTCGAGGAGGCGAACGTCCTCGAGGAACCGGGAAGAGGGCGACACCGCGAAAAGACGCGCGGACAGGCATTCGAGAGCGTTGACACCGCCGAAAGGGAGGGAGGAGCGCGAGGAATTCGATTCGAAGGCATGGCACGAGAGCAACCGGATTTTCGCCGCCAACTACATCCGAGAGAACAGCAGATACCGGGCGAATCCGGATGGGCGTTCGGAGATCGATCGAGATCCCTCTCCCGAATTCGAGATCCAAGAATGGCGGGACAACAGGAGGCGTTCGAGCGAACAAGTTGGAGGGTCGAACGAGTTGGAGGAGGACTCGAAGCCTCGGGCGTACGCGTTGGGAAACGGGGAACATGGTTCGAGAGATACGCGCGAGAGCGGATACGCGTCCCACGAAGGGAGGAACGGGGCGACGATCATCAGGATTAGATCGAGCCCGGAAACGGGCGTCGAGAGGACGAGACGTCGTCGTCGTCCTGCGCAGGACGCGTACGCGGGAAGACGGAGGCATCGCGAGGGCGAAGAGGACAGCGAGGAGGACGGGGAGGAGGAGGAGGAGGAGGAGGAGGGCGATGATCGGCACAGAGGGTTCCAGCGAGGAGGAGACGGAGGGTTTATACCTGGAAGAGGCGTTTCCACACCTTCGAGAAGAGTCTGGAATTACCGCGAAGGGGTATGGCATTTTCATGAGTCAATCGCGTTCGATCGATCGTTTATGGTTCAGAAGCGGGAAGCGATATTCATAAATCGATGGAGACGATGAAAAGAGACGTGGTAATTCTCGTAAAAATAAAAAAAAAAAAAGAAAAGAAAAGAAAGAAAGAGTCGCGGAGTGGTGCATGGTTACTTGTAAATACACGTACAGGGGGTGGTGGCTCGGGGAATGTTTGATATCCTTTCGTCCGATCCTCGTTTGGCGACGCGATGCTGTAAGTGTCGAGTGTGTTGGTGGATCGTTGAAAGGTGCGAATCGTTTTTTTGCCGCGTCGATCGATCGTCAATTGCCATTTTGTATCGAGATTTCTTTCGACGCCGTTATTAAATACTTATAAACACACGTACGTACGTTCGTGCTATTTTCTTATCCATATTGTGCGCACGCTTTTATTATATCTTATTATATTACACGAGAGTTCGTCGAGCATCGAACGGACTTAACGAACTTGTATGAATTAAGTGAAAGCAATGATTATGAGAGCAATTATCGATTTTATGGTATTATCAGATATGTATATATACATATACATATACATATACATATATATATATATAGAAATATAAATATAGAAAGTTTTAATTGAATTTCTAATTGATCAGTGAAATTCTTTGATTCCAATCCAACCAATCCAATTGCGATTCGTTCCAAGTCCAATTGACGCTGTTTGCGAACATCTCTTCATTTCGTAGACGATAATTATAGAACGTAGCCGGTGCTATCGGTGCTAAATAACGCGGTCGAAAGCGCGGAGATCTCGATTGGGGTGAAAGCATACCATGCGAATCGGGTTTTTATCTTTACGTACGCTTTACTTACTAATCCTTTGATCAATCCACTACCTTGCTCGGCTCGTTTATTCGGCTCGTTTCTCGAATACGTGGACGAACGCACGCCACGGGCTAAAACTTCAACTTTCACGAGCGTTCGTCGTTTCCCTTTTGCGAGTTCAAAGTTGGCCATTTACGCCGAGCGAAAATTACACCGGTTCGATATTTTTTTCGCACGCTCGCGAGTTATCCGTCTCTCGACCGTCTCTCTCTCTCTCTCTCTCTCTCTCTCTCTCTCTCGTCGTCGTCGTCG